GTATTGTATATATATTAAAAATATATATATATATATATTGTAAATGTAGGAAAATAATTCGAAAGAAATAAATGGGAGAATTTAATTTGCTTTAGGTGAACGACCCTTCGGTTCCTTGTTACCCCCTTACGGATCATTGCCTTAACACGACGACCGGTTTTCCATCGTATTACAAATCGCTGGGTAAATGCGATTTACACGAGTGCAAGTGATGAACGAATTTCTTCAAAATGAAATCGTGAAGATTGAAGATTGTAAAAATTGTAAAAGATATTTCAATTGATTGTTATATTGAATTTAATCAACATCGTTGTATTGATACAATTTCTAGAATAGAAACATTTTCGTTCGCACAAAATTGATACGTATGTACATAGATTTTTTGAAATATCGAGTATACCGGCATCGACATAACAGAATGCAGAAAGAATTACGCGATGAAATTACGAGGAAAGATGCAGCATAGAAAATTCAACTGTCTTGAAAATATATTTTGCAGAAAGAAGAAAAGAAATTATTATTTTTTTTTTTTTCAATAGAGACAATATTATTTTATATTGCATTATTAATGCATTCTTTTATTTTTTTTTTTAATCCTTTTAATCTACTAATTTTTCTTCCTTGGTCAACAACATCCATTACATTTATTAATTTTTTTCGTGTACTATACTGTGTGTATGCAATGTTTAAAGAACAGGGAACAATTTTCAGCAAAAAATAGCGAAGCCGGTCAAATGTCGAGACAATAGTTAACTACCTCGATTAAAAAGTGATCAAATTAATACTTTTCCCGAAGATAAACACCATGAGAGCGTTCGACTTTTCCTCCTTCCTTTTCTCGCTCTCTACGCTTCTCTCGTTTTTTTACGTATCTTCTGACAGCGCGCGCCGATCTGTATTTCTTCCCGTATCACCTGTCGTGTCTACTGTGTCTTCTACCTTGGACAAGCGCGTACTACGTGCTTGAATCCTTGGTTAAGACGAGTGCATCGGACTGAGAAAGAAAAGTCATCGAAGAGGGGGAACATAGTCTTCGAACGAAAAGATGGAGAAAGGGTGAACTTGGAGAGTCGAGATGTTGCTCGGAACGGTTTACGCGGGGGGACAGACGAATGTCGGGATACTACACGGGAATATATCGAAAGAAAAAGGAAGGGAGAGAAAAGAAGAAGGGATAGTATGAGGTCGAAGGACCAAGAGTTGAGTTACACGGATAATAGAAAATATAAATCGAATAAAAGATCGAAATAGTACTTCGAATCTGTGGACTATGCATTTTTGTAACGATAGCAAACTATGAGACGAGTAAAAATAATTGTTTTTACGTATTATTGGCGTAAAATTATTTTTTAGCATTTTTTTCAATTTTTCTTATGATATTTTATTACATTACAAAGTATTTATTAATATCGACAAATATAAAATTTGATAATAAATAGAAAATTAATAGTGAAATCAAATAATATAATATATTAGTATATTTTGTCTAAGAAATTAAGAACAATTGATAACGGTATCTCGATTGAATAAATTGTCTTCGCGATGATAATTTATAACATAAAAAATTTTAATAAATTATTTGAATTGTGTATAAACGTAACTTTTTTTTCTTTTCTCTTTCTCTTTTTTTATTCGCAATATTTTTATGTATTTATAAATACGATCAAAGATTTAAACTAATTTGTTTTTATAAATATGTATACTTATATATATATATATATCTCATTTCTATCTACGATGAGGAACACTGACGGACGCTTAACGGTATTCGTTTATTCTACTTTTCTTTCCACACTGTTCTTCAACTGTTTTAAGAAATATTCGGCCAACTTGACCTCCGTCCAAAAATCGCAACAAGTATCGTGAGAAAAAAATGACACGCATTAATTTCAAACAAAAATTTAAACAATAATAAATCGTTTATATGAAATTTTTTTAAATTTTAAATCATATCATCTCTTGGCTGTTTATTATCAATTAATATTACAACATATTTAACGATCTATCAACAATCACTGATAATAACGGTAATAATGTTTAAAAATTATTTTAATTAAGAAATAAAAATTGATATTAACCTGTTATTATTTATTAACATTTATGAATAATAATAATTATTAAAGTATTTATATTGCAAATAAATAATTTCGCAATTTTAACGATACCCCTGCTTATTACATTAACATCTTTTTTGAATTCAATTTTTTGTAAAAATATATATAATTTATTGACACAATTCCATATTTTTTTTAATTATTAAATTTTAATAAAAAATATATATGTTTTAATTAATTTATAAATAAATATAATACTCTACGTAAGATTCAATGTTATCTGGATATAATTAAACATATTATATTATTCTGGTGTTTTTTTTTTTTTAGTATTTCTATTTATATTAATATTATATTATTTGATAAATAATTTGGAATGATCATATGATCAATAAAAATGTTAAACTTAAAGATACAACATGTACGCAAGATTCAACAACTTAGAAGAATCGTGTTTTATCGATGGAAGCGAATATAAGGGTACTTGGACCACATTTGGCATGGAAGGAGTCGGTAAATTCATCATGCCGCACAGTTAGTATATATTACTCTTTATCAAGATGTTACAGAAATGTTACAGAATAATCTCGAATGCGTATTTCTTTACACCTTGCTTGAATTGTTTGAAAAAAGGAGGAGAAAAAAGCAATATAAAAATACAAAATAATTATAATAAGAAACAAGAGATAAGTGAATTGTAAATAAAAAAAATATGATAGAAAAATATTCATAATTGAAATACAATGAATGTTAAATCTTTTAAAACTTGAAATTACATTTTGTAAAATGTACACGTTAACGCCAATAATTGTGTCTAAGATATGTACATATGTATAGCATATATACTGGTTTTTGAGTACAACATTGAGCATTTCTCGCGCGTAAGTCGACGCGTACCGTTATGCGACCATTTTCGTCGCTTCATGTTCTAGAGTTCGTATATGTTTTTCATTTACCTATAGCTCAAATATCTTAGTCTTACATGCATTCACTATATTATAAATTTTATAAATATGCATACGCACACACGCACTTTTTTTCTTCCATTTATTTTTTTCTATCGCTAAATCTTTTGATCTCTTTCTTCTGATCTTCTTCGTTTCGTTAAATGACCCGAATCTATTTATTGTAATAATAATAATGAAATTATTACTGTAATAGATGCTATCTTTGAAGGAGAATTTCGCGATAATATGTTTCATGGCTATGGTAGTCTATATTGGCCTCGTGGGCAAAGAATGGATGGAATTTGGATACAAGGTGAATGTAGAGACAAGCAATACGTTTTTAACGATGGATTAAATTTTCTTGAAACTGATTGGAAGTATTGCAAATTTCCTGATAGACGGTTAGTAAATACATTGTACTTTTAAAAATAATTTTAAAATTGAAATACTGAAAGTTAAATCATCATTTTATCCTATAAAGTGTATATAAAGTTTATCACTGATCATTAAAAAAAATTAGAGATAGAATTTTACTTTCATTAAATTCAAGTCCATTAGATACCAACTGTGTCATAAATATGGATTGAAACCTGCTGGATTAACTTTACGCACGAATAGTCAAGACGAATTTATTATTCCTCCTAAGTGTTACGATGCAGGCATCGGAATTTTTAACCCATCTCAGTATACTATTATTTGCTATTCAGACTTGAAAAAGGTATATACATTCAAATAAAAATATCTGTCATAATATAATATATAATAATTCACTACAAATTCTGAAAATATTCGAAGATAATTGAGATACCAAATGTCAAATTCATTAAGTGGATAAAAAATAATTGTCAAAAGGCATGGTCTGAACCAACTGGAAAAAATATAAAAGCTTTCTATAAATATGACAAGAAGGTTCCTTCTACATTATTACCATTTTCAAATAATTCTTTTGAATCCTGGTGGAAGAGGTACAAATAAAGATATTCAAATACTAAATAATTGAAAATATTCATTTTAATTATTTCTATTCTTATTTCTTTTAAGATTAACTACTTTTAGTCAAGATTCTACCTACGATCGAAAAAAATCCTATTGTTTATGCAAAGATAAAACATCAAGCGTTAAAGAAGATAAAAATCCCATTGAAATCCATTTGATTGAAACGGATATAGAAAAAAAATACAATACAATTTAAAAAATAAAAATTTAATAATATTTTATTCTTGTTGTAAATAAATATTTAATACTTTTCTGCAACAGATTAATATATTTAATTATAATTTAATTCTCTATCTATTTAATATATAAGAAAGATAGAGAAATGAAAATAAGAATATTTATTATTTAACAATAAGTTGTTTTTGTTCGGTTACAATATTACAAGCATGTGCTTCTTGATGTATACGATATGTTACTGACAATTTTTTTGATACGCACTCGGTTGTTTTGCAAGCAATAATATCCAAAATCACGCACATCTCTTGTGTTTCTTTTCCTTCGGGAATCTTTATTGATATAGGATTTGAAAGTTCTCCATTTCTTGCTCTAGCTATCCATCCAGAATTATTTATAGGCAAATTCAAAGTCCATCTTTGTGGTGCATCTAAATTTAATTTTAAATCACGTTCAAAAAATATTATGTTAAATGAAATATTTAATTCGGCACCTTTCTCGTTAACTGTGGTATCAAAAAAATAAATATTTTTAGAACTGTTGTTTATTTCAATCGTCGAAATGTTTATCGGTAACTGTAATATAATAATGAATATTATCTATAAATATCTATATGTTTTCCAATATCTATAGAATAAAAGCATAATAATTTACCGTAATAATATTTTCCTTTTTCATGTCGATAACCTTTATTACATGATTATTAGTATCAGCCACATATAAGAGATCTTTTTCAGAACTGATAGCAATACCGCTAGGTTCATCGAACTATAAATTATAAAGGAGTTATATAAGAAATTTATAATCACATACTGATTAAATTAATAAATATAAATATTTTCTAAGTATAACATACTGAAAATTTCTCATTTGGTTTTCCATCACCATATATAGTTTTACAATACTGAGTGGTTACATCAATTTTCTTAATTTTGTGATTATATGTATCAGTTATATAAACAGCATTTTCTTTTGAATGCCAAGCTATACCTAAAGGATGTTGAAGCTTAGCTGCATATTTTATACCATCAAAGTCTCCATAATCGTGCAAATCCTGCGATATCACAATATTCCATGTTAAATAAAACATACTTTGAATATATACTACTAATTATTTATCGATTAATTACAATAAAATTTTTAAAATCTATATTTCTTAATTTTTTGAAGTTTTTTATTATTTATTTAAATTTATTTATATATATTAAAACATACTACGGGATTTCTGTTTGCACCACAAACGACCGAAACTTGTCCACTTTCTAAATCTATGCTTCTGATAGCACTACTTTCACTATCAGCAAAAAATGCAATTTTTCGTTCTTTGATTACAGTTAAACCAGACGGTTGTGCTAAACCAGCTGCATGAGGATACAAATTATTACGATTTTCTTCTCTGCCACTTCCTACTATAGCAATACAAGTACCCGCTTTGTATTCTCTATAAAAAATTTAAAATGAAATATTATTCTATAGATCTTTTATAAATATTAGAATAATATAAAATAGAATAATAAAAATAGAATAATATAAATATTAGAATAAACTTTATGTACCTTTTTTTCCACCAAATAGTATCTTCTAAAAAAAGCGCCCAAATCTGATGAGTACCAGCCATTGCGATCAATAATATGGGTATAGTATTTTTATTACATTCATATTTATAAATAGCTAAGTCCCATGGTGAAGATAAAATTTGATCTTTACCGATTTTACCTCCAATATAATCATGACCTTGAATACCCGTACCAACAACAGTAGTTACTATTTTTTTTATCAAATCTATCTAAAAAATATTTTAATTTTATCTATATTATTTTAAAAGATATAGTTCGTATATAGATATGTGTAGAATTTAATGATAAAATATTACTTTTCTAATTGCGTGATTCTCATTATCGGCAACGTAAATAAAAGTATCTAATATACACACTCCCTGAGGTGCATTAAATCTTGCATTTTCAAAATCACCATCTTTGAAACCAGGATTAGAACCACCAATAATGTATTGTATATTTCCTTTAGTGTCCATTATTAAGATTCTATTGTTGCCAGTATCAGCTATGATCAAATTTTCTCCTTGCTCATTCTGAAAAATCTCCAACTTACTAGGGAATAAAAGATTTTTATTATCCACAGTAGCCAATAAATGACATTCCAATTGCAAGGGAAGATCATTTTTAGATATTTTATTTAATGATTTAAAATAACTTAATGCTACTTCTACAAATAGAATCAATTCATTTCTGTGTCCTTCTCCTACAAAAACAGCCAGTAATTCTCCAATAGGACCTATAATATATAAATTTTTTACATGGAGGCTTTTGAAAATAATAATATACTTATATATATACAATTACTATATAAGTATAATGATATAATCATTATATAAGTCAGATAAATATATATCATAATAATAAATATACAACACTTACCTATCATTACTAATGTTGGCCAACATGAGATTCCTAAATTATGCCATGCTGATAATGTTTTGTCATTTACAACTGGATGTTTTATATTGTATCTCTGAATTGCTGACAAAAGTCTCTTTGAATCTCGTTCATTTGAAAATTTTGCACTGTGTACTCCAATCTGTGTAATCCAAGAAAAAAGTAATAATATTATGATATGTAATTATTAATTTTAATTGATTAATATTATATAATACAATATATATTATATAATATTATATAATACAAATTATATATTTTGTATATACTAACAACAACAAGGCCATCAGTAATTGGAAATCTTTTTTCAAGATCATTTAAATCTGGTAAAATGTGCATACAATTGATGCAACAATATGTAAAGAAATCCAAAATAATAATCTTCCCATTGAGATGTCGATATAAAGATAATTCCTCTGTGACATTGAACCATTCCAAACCTATCATATTTATAAACAAATTTCTTTGAAGATTGATTATCAAATTCACAAAAATTGCAACTTTTATGAATATAATTAAATGACGTATGACTTTAATTAAATTTTAGGATAGAGTAAAAATAAATTATATAAAGAATGGACAAATGAAAATAATATATATAAAATATATATGAAAATAATAAATTAAATTTAATCATCTTCCAATGATAAATCATATTTATCATACAAATTCTTGATGGTAGTTTTATTTAATACAGCTATTGCTCCTAAAACCATTTGAGTTACATCTTTAATTTCATTGTATTTGTGTAATAAATCCATAGTTTCTTGAATTGAACGAAATTCTGTTTCTTCAATTTTTAAATTGGTCAATTCTTGATCGAGAATTTTTTCGTGTTCTATTAATTTGAAATATTCGCGTATTTCTTCTTCTGTAAGTAAAATATTTTTTTTATCATTCGAACACAATGGTTGATTTGAACTTGCTGTAGTTAGCCTTCTAATATTCTTCATATTTTGTTCCTTGGATTTTTTAAACATTTCGTTGTGTAACATGAATCGTTACATACAATATCTTTTGCCTAACGAAAAGCAGTCATTAAAATTCTTAAACGTTCGAAAAGAAAAATATCGAAAGTTAATATGAATTTAAATAAAATCTATATATTCATCTATATAATAATAAAATAATATAAAACTTTATACAAATATATAAAATACAGAATTATCTTCAAAATTTAGAAACTATAGATCATAAATAATCAATATCATAATCAGTTTCATGTAAATTGAAACACTAACTTGTGCAACTCTAATACAATCTATATTTATTAATTATAATAATTTTTCTATATATATAATTAAATATGTACTAAATTTTTATTCTGTATAATAATAAAACAAATATAAAATTATTAACCTGTTTGAAAATCAGCGATCCGCGTATTTTTATTTGAAAATATTTTAATATGCTGTAATACTAATTCCTTTTGTTCTTTTTTGTCAAGCAATAATTCCAAACTTCCACGTATTTCTATGCCTATTTGCGTTAATTCTTCCACAGTATCACGCACATTCATATTCTGTTTCGAATATTGATTATTTATTATTTAAACAAATTTAATAATCCAAAATAGCTAAATAAACAAAATAAAACAAACAAAAAATGAATTAAAACGTTATAAAAATATGAATATTATATTGATGAAAGAAATTCCAAATTGACACACATATAAAAATAAGTACTTTGCTTAAACGTATATTTTATGAACTCGTGTTATATTATATATACTATTATATGTACTATATATGTTATGAAATACTTATATCACATATATTTTATTTGAATAGGCATGTTTAATTAAAATTTGTCAATTATCCAAAATATTGTCACTATTGATTTTTTTTCAAAAATAATTTTAAGGAATAATTTAATTTAAATTTTATTATCTATCAAATTCACATATTTTCTTATATTCTATACTATTATAATAATAAATAATGTCGCCACATACAGAAAATCCAGAAAAGTTAAAAGAATTAGATTGGATTAGTGTACGTACTAAATTGAATGATAATTATAAAATTGAATCAATTAAAGAAAAAATGATACGTAAAGTAAGAGAAAATCCGATAATACCTCTTGGTAAATATAACCTCTATTTATAATATACTATTTTACATATAAATAAAACATTTTAAATTCTATTTTTTAATAAAATCATTTTAGGTATTTTGGCAACTACAAGTGCTCTCTCTTATGGTTTATACTCTTTTTATATGGGAAATACTAAAATGTCTCAATTAATGATGCGTGCTCGAGTTGGAGCACAAAGTTTCACTCTTTTAGCTATCATTGGTAGTTGGATTATTATAGCAAGAAAAAATAATTAATATGTTATCATTTATTTATTTACTTAATTAAATAGTCAAGTATTAATTATTCCAATTAAATTCTATTGAATGATAAATATTGTTATATATATAATTGTATATTCAACTGTAGTTTTTATTTTAATTTTTACTTATAATCTAATTTAATAGAAAAACTTATAATAAATATGTTTTATAAATTAACATTAAAACTATTTGAATATTAACATTTCATATTATATAAATATCTATGATGAATTTCATTAGAAAAATGTTCATAAGATTTTAATGAATTGAATAAATTTTAAAATGCAAAAATGTATCATTAATAATGCATAATATTTGATAATAAATTTAAATAATTTAAAAAATAGAAATGATTGAAAGAAATGATTTTATGAAAAGTATAATTTCTAATAATTGTGACTATTTTGTTATTTTTTTATTTTTTATTATTTTTAATTATCTTAATCACAGCTTTATTAATTATAATTTTTAATATCTAATAAATATAAATATATTTAAAATTAAAACAAAATATTATTTATTTTTTTTATTTAGATTGAAATATGTTTACTTCTTTACAAATATTATCTAGTAATGAAGTTTCGTCATAAAGAGATTTTTGTCGTTTGTTTATATTATTGAAAAAATTTTTTATATTTGTATTTTCATTTAGATATTCAAAATTTGAAACTTGTTGAGGTGTTATCACTGCATGTTTCCATCTAGCATGTTCTTGAATACATATTGTTAATTGTTCAAACCATTTTTGAGCATCTTCATTTGAATATAATTCTATAACATCGCGCTTCTCATTATCAGTTATATAATTAATTATTCGTAATTGATTTTTCATTGATTTTGATCGGCGGATAATAGTTTCCTGAAATATTAATATTATAATATAGTATCGATCATATTCGATAGTATCGAAAAATTGAATAAATAAATTTTAATGTATATATCATTTCACCTTGGTCATACAAATCGTATATATAGGTTCTAATTTTTCTATACATTTCTTTGATTTCCAACTATCAATTTGAAAATTCTGTAATCGTATCCAACATCGTTGATTATTTACAATTGCAAATCCAGCGCAAATTTCTTTATTCATATAATATGGTTGAATAGCTAAGCGACAACAAAAATGTCCAAAAAGCGGCAATATTTGAATTTTATTCCCAAAATTATTTAATGTTAGATCATGTGAACGTATATTTTTATTACTATCATCAAGAGTCATTTTTGCATAAGCCATCAATTCAAATTGTGGTACTTTGTTAAACTCATATTCATCTCGTAAAACTGCCGCGAACTTTCTACCTACAGTTTTTGAAATTGAAGAATGAATTGTTTTTCTGATTTTTCTTGGAGTACTAGCAATACTAAGATCTTCTTGCAAGATATGACTATAAACTTCTAAAGATAATTCAAATTCAGCTGGTACATTATTGAACAATAAAATATCAGGAAAACTAATATCAGTTTGTTTCCTATCAATGGGAAAAAGTAAATTTGTATCATGAACTTCTGCACCAACTCGGACTATACAAAAAATTGCAAATCTTCGATAATCTCCTCGATTTTTAAAATGATCAGTATCTCTCCACATTAAAGGAAATCTAAGATCTGAAATTGACAGTTTCCCCTTACTATTAAAAGTGCTGAAACATATAACAATCATATAACAATGATAAAGGATATTTTTATTTGCATTAAATGTATTGTTGTAAATATATTTAATACATATATATATATAAAATTAATATAATTTGATTAATATAACAGATTAATAATATACCTTGTTTTCAATGATACATCTTTTTTCTGATGTTCTAATTCAATCATATAAGCAGACATTCTTTTGCTTGAAGTTAACAAAGCACGTGCTGCTTCTAAACTTTGTGCAGGATGCCGCGCAGCAGCTAATAATCTAGAGGATCCTTCTTTAATTTTAGTTTCTAGTTCAATTTTTTGTTCTAAGTCATATTCCTACAATAAATATATTTTTCCAAAAAATGCTTTTTTTTTTATAAAATAAATTTTTTATTTATAAAAATAATTTCTATTGTTAAAGTTATTATCTCATATAAAAAAGATATGAATCAAATGAAAAATATTTTCATTTTGATTTCCGATAAATATAATTGTTTGATATGATTTTAATTGATTGCGAGAAACTAGACAATTTACCCAAAATTAATGATAAAATTAGTTATACAAAAGATTTATATTAAGTATTTAAAATAATTAAATTTATTAAATTTGTAAATTTTAATTTATATGTATACTAATTTAATAATCTCTTTTTCGAATAAAAAACATAACCTAATTTTATTTTATATATTAATCATAATTAAATATTTTTAAATGATATCTAAAAATTTAAATAATAGATTTTTCAAATATTAAAATAAGAATATAATTTCTATTTAAAAAAAAATAATAAATTATATAAATTTTTAAAAAAAATATATACTGATTAAATTTTATCAATTAATTTATCAATCGAAAAATTTACTTACCGCTACATTTTTATAATTTCGAATACTTTCTCGCCTTCGAACTCGTGCTTGATAATCACTTAATGAACGCAAATAATTATTTTCTTTATCTAAACTATCATTTAAAGAACCGCGTAACGATCCAATACTTTTTCTACGTGGCGCCATTTTGAAGTTTCATTGATGTTTTTGAACGGTAACGGTTTTTCGATCATTATATAAAAATTTTAAAAAAAATGCAGACAGGAGAATTGAAGAGAAATTATATAATAATCATATGGAAGAATGATTTTAAAAACTTACAAGCACATATAACATAAAAGCATAAAAAAAAATGTTAAATAAAGTTCTGAAAAATTCGAACTTATATTTGGTATAAGATATTCAAAGAACATTGATTAATATAAAGAATATTTAATGAGCACAAATTTATTTTTTTTCCTTGTCTTTATCTTTGTCCTTATCTTTGTCCTTATCTTTGTCCTTTTCTTTCTCTTTTTCTTTGTCCTTATCTTTGTTTTGTTGAAGAGATCCAACGGCTTGACGAACAGCTTCTGAATGAGGATCAACACCTGGTAAATTTTCCAAAACAGATTGTAAGAATGCTGGATCAGACATTACAGCAGCATAATCTTCTTCAACTTCCATTGCTTCTTCTTTTAGAGATTCAAGTTCTTCTATAAAATAAAAAAATAACAATAGTATACATACATACATGTAAACTTACATATATATATCTAAATCTTACGTTGATCTTGCATAGACATCTGCATAGCAAAAGCAATTTGTTCTTCCTCGGTCATGCGTGCAAAATCAGGTGCATTTATGTTAGCAGGAACAGTATTATCAGCTGTTGATGATGATGTTTCTGCACCCTCAAGTGACATAGCAAGAGCACGCTTTAACATTGCTTCTTCATTATGCACTTCTTTAATCGTTTCTGGTGGTTTATTTGTAGCTGCTTCATTAGCTTGTGCACGACGTGCTTCATCTTCTTGACGCTGACGTTGCTCTTCCATAGAAACACGTAATGCCTACATAAATAAAGTAAAAATTGTAAAATGTGTCCATATAAATAAATTAAAAAAGTTGAAATTTGATTAAAAAAATAAATATAAAATACAAACCAATGCCAATTCTGGGTCTTCATTTGGATCAACACCAAATTCATAAGCAGACCCTCCCATACCTGTACCACCCATTCCATCTTCTCCTTGAATAATAGGAGAAGAAATCAATGCATCAGATAAATGTGGCCCAGGTGGAACTGTGACTAAATGACTGCCTGTTCCATCTTTTCCATTAAGAGCATTGATAAAGGCTGTTAACACTTCATTGTTAATGCTTTCTTCACCAAAACTAATCACATCTACATTAACTTTCTCTTTTTTTAATCTTTTTGCTAATTTTACAAGTTCTTTCTCATCAATTTCTATAGGACTACCAATAAAAGCCACAATACGCATTTTATGATTTTTACCTTGACGATGTTTCAATGCTAACTGTTAATAAACATTATAATTATAGTTTTTTATAATTTATAAAAATTATATACATAAATTATAATTAATCAATATATTTACATGTGCAATGCGTATTCCTGTAATTAAACTTAGGTTACCATTTGGTTGGACTTGATGAAGTTTTGATAAAATTCTGCCTACGTCACTAGTAAGTGTAGCTAATACTTCAACACTATTTAAAATAGTAACGATTAAATGAAAAAAATAACAAATACTTTTTATTTTTGATACGGAATATATGAATTGACTTACTTAGCTAGTGTTATCAAACCAACATTATTTTCGGGATTCGATCGTGTTTTTGAATGACAAACTAAATTAACAGCATCTTGTTGTGCTTGTAGTCGTGTTGGTAAAAAATCTCCATTTCTCATATAATCGCTGTTGTCAACACTGTAAATATTCAAAAATATATAAAGAAAATAATAAATGTTTTTCATGAATAAATTTGTAAGAAACTTATTTTAATTCACATAACCTTTATTTGATTAGTTTATAAAAACAAAAATATTTAAATTATAATTCAGTTAACATTATTATTTATTAAATATCTTATACATAATTTTATACTAAATCAAATTATAATTGTCAAATTTTATTTACAAAAAAATGTTAATCATGAATATTTCAACTTTGCACTGTCACTCGAGATAACATTTATGTTAACAAAATATTCGTATGATCAGAAAAAATGAAATTTCATTAATATTGAAATGTGATTTAATGAATATTTAGAAAACATAAATTTATAAAATGAAAAATATGATGAATTTTATAGATTTATAATAAATAAATATCTAGAGCTTACCATATCATCGTACTTTCCAGTACCATCTTGGTTCGAATTACTAAATTGTTTCATTCCGTTTCGTTCCGTTCTGTTATATTCTGTCGTGATTTCGCTTCATTCCATTTTATTTTGTTCCACTTCATCATATTTTGTTCTTTATTTATTTGTTTGTAAGTTAAAATTTGAAATATTAATACTTTTAAAAATAAAAATAACTAATGATATTGGAAAAAAGGAAAAAATGATATTGCATGTACGCCTTGTTGAGAATTATATCGTAATATATAATATATATATATATATGTATTTATACATATACATATATACATATACATATATAGTCTTTAATTTAAGTACGTACAATTACAAGATAAAATGTTATTTGCT